CTTTCACTACCCTCTGTGGAACTTTTTTCAAAATCCAAAGAATCCTGTAAACAGTGTACTTGTTCTGTTAGGGAGGAATGAAAACCAGAGTCTGGAAATTCTGGTAAGGATTTCTCTTGAGAAGCTTCATCAGGAGCAATGAACCAATCAGAATTTTGATCAGAAGAGGGCTCCTGACTTCGGGTGAGTAATGCAGGTTTAGGTGGCACCAAGGTACTTGATACAGGAGGAACATCGATCTGCCAGGAACTTAATTGCTGGTCCACTGACTGTTGCCAAGCTTGTAGAGACCTTACCTATAAACCAAAGGATATAGTTTTATTACAAAATAAAAATTATACCTGTTTTACAACTGTCCTTTGAGCTTCCTTCCTCAACACTCATAAAGCTGGTAATTGGCAGATGGCAGAACTGGAGTTAGAAAGGACCTGACTCCCCTTACCCTTCCCACAGCACCCCCAGCCCAAACCTGGCTGGCACAAGTGGCTCACGTCCTCGGTAACAAAAGACCTTCTACAGGGGAGTAGAGATGGGCCTATTTGAAGCAATTCTTGTTTTGACCTGAAAAATAATCAGAAGCACAACAGCACATGTCTAGCTGACTAGGGGGTCAATAAGGTACTCTGAGGTCAGGGGGAGGGTATCGCTCAGTGGTAGAACACACGCTTAGCATGCACCAGGTTCTGGGTTCAATCCCCAGTGCCTCCATCTAAAAATAAATAAATAAATAAACAAACCTAATTCCCATCCAAAAAAATTTTTTTTATATCTTAAAAAATATATACACTGAGGTCTATTTAATAAGACAGATTAGAGCATATTCATATGAGCAGACTCTATAATCAAAGTCTCATTTTAGATACCCATTTGGGATTAAGAGTTTTTAAAAACTAGCAACAGAGTATATGCAACTCTAAAATACCTAAAAATACCCTGAGTTCTTGAAAATACAAACTTTACATTCTTAAAGTATAATCAAAATCTCCAGATTTCACTGTAAAATCTGCAACAAGAAAACAATATATAGAATATTTTAGTTTTCCTTTGACCGTCCTCCAAGGTAATCACTGATAGCAGTTTGATATGTTATCTTTCCAGACCTTATACTATGTACTTTCAAATATAATGTTATAGGTAAAATCCTATTATAACAAATTCTTTTATAACAATATTTCCAAGGAATTATCATCAGGACATGTTTGTTGGGATACAACAACAGGAAAATCAATGTCTGAGCCACCCCTGGAGTGTGCTGCCACAGGGCTGAGACTCTCTCCTTGGGGGTCATGTGTACTTTTGAGGATATGCAATACTGTAGCTGTCATACAGCACTTCAACCACTTTTTATTCAAATAGTCTCAACAGATAAAACAAGATAGATACCTACATAAAACCTCAAATTGAGCTTTCAAGTCAAAATTATGAAAATATTTTTCTTCAGATTAAATAAAATATAACAAATTTCACAGTCCTAGTTCTGAGTTAGCGACAGAACATGAACCACATTCTTAACCTTAAGAAAGGGTGCTTACCTTACCTTATAACTAATCTATGATTATCTCAGTAAATCTAGAATTTGTCTTTGTTCACACAGTAGGTAAGTCAGAAGGAGGGGGTTTACCTGGTTCCAAAGGAATCTGACAGCCTCTTCTTGTACAAATTTTTTAATGCGTTCTTCATCTCGTTCTTTTCTTAATCTACAATAATTCAAAATCCATTACTAAACAAGAAAGCATGCTTTGACTTGTATTTCCTGTTACAACTAATAAACACATACATTGTAAAGATTAATAATATAATGACAGTCCTTTCCACTTTTAGAATATCTAAGTGAAACTTTAGTTTTAAAGTATGACTCAACATAGAAGCCAAAGAACATATGATTTGAAAAGATGCTGAATATCACTAATTATCAGAGAAATGCAAATCAAAACTACAATGAGGTATCACCTCACACCAGTCAGAGTGGCCATCATAAGATAAATGCTGGAGGGTGTAGAGAAAAGGGAACCCCCCTACACTGTTGGTGGAAATGTAAATTGGTGCAGCCACTATGGAAAACAGTATTAAGGTTCCCTAAAAAACTAAAAAGAGTTACCATATGATCAAGCAATCCCACTTGTGGGCATATATCCAGAGAAAACTATAACCCAAAAAGATACATGCACCCTAATTCATACAAGCACTATTTACAATAGCCAAGACATGGAAGCAACCTAAATGTCCATCAACAGATGATGGGATAAAGATGTGGTACGTACACGTACACACACACACACACACACACACACACAATGGAATACTACTCAGTCATAAAAAGAATGAAATAATGCCATTTGAAGCAAGAGGGATGGACCTAGAGAATATCATACTAAGTAAAGAAAGTCAGTAGAGAAAGGTAAATATCACATAATAGATATGTGGAATCTAAAACAATGAGACAAATGCACTTATTTACAAAACAGAAACAGACTCAAAAACATAGAAAACAAACTTATGGTTACCAAAGGGGGAAGCAGGGGAGTGAGGGATAAATCAGGAGTTTCAGATTAGCAGATACAAACTACTATATAAAATAAACAAGGTCCTACTGTGTGGCACACAGAACTATATTCAATATCCTGTAATAAACCATAATGGAAAAGAGTATATTTATTTATAACTAAATCATTTTGCTTTACATCACTAACATAACATTGTAAATCAACCATAGTTTAATTTTTAAAAAAAGCAAATAAGATGTGACTGAAATTCAGATTATGCAGGTTATACAAAGTATTGCCAGTAATGAAAAATAAAATATTAAATGGCTCTTTATCTAGCTTCAATTTCCCAGCCAAACACATGGAAGGGGCAGGAGCTGCAGAAAGGCAGCTTGAAAGAGCTTGCAACATCCTAAGAGACCAGCAGGACTAATCCCATCAAACTTCACATTTCTGTTTGTCCCAGTTCCTGATATAGTCCTTGCTATCATCAACAGACCTCCCATCTGTCACTCCCCTCATTCATTGAAGTTTCACTCTGGGCTCACTGCCCCCTCTCCATACTTACACCTGCCATAACCTAAGGATCCCTTAGCTGTCCATTATCTCCCAAACTGTCATCCCATTTTGTTCTGAAGCTCCGACCTACTTTCTCTAGCTCCTCAAGCCCTCCTCCTGTGCCATCTGGTACTCCTGAATTGTAATCTGCAAACTCCCATATACACTCAACCTCTTCTCTGAGCTTCTCCTTGACCAAATCAGATCCACTTCTAAGGGCACGGAAGCCCTCTCAAGCGGCAGCTATTTTTCTCACTCATACATCAGAGTTAGAACGTTGCTTCTCACTGCTGTTTACAAATGACTCTTAACCTTCCTCCTTCAAGAGCTCCAACCATCTTGCTGAATTTCCCCTAACTCTTTTTCAAGTACTGACCTCCCATTACCTGCCCCATTCACTGAAGGCTCAGCACTGGTCTTTTTCTCTGCCCTGTTCCTGTGCTCATTTCTGGAGCCCTCAACATTCACATGGATGCTCTACCTAACAATAACCCACCCCACATCACCCATTCTCACTCCCACTCTAGATCCAAGCATTCTGATGATACCATCTTCAAAAATGATTCCAAGCACCAGCACAAACCACTACCTCCAGTCCTCCCAGTTCCCTTGGTCTTGCACCCACTACAACAATTCAGACGTCCAATCTTCATCTAGACCTCTCCTCCTGTCTTTCCTTTTACCTCACGTAAATTCCAAGGTCCATCATTATAGTCATCCCTTTCCCAAATATCTTCAGCTCCCTTGTCCTTCCCTTTCTCCCCTATCATGTTCGCCTAGGAAAACCCATTCTTGGCTGAACCAAATCAACCATGTCCACATCAGAACAGAACAGCTGAGAGTTGCTGATGAAAATCACAGAGTCTGACCTGTTCTTTTGCATTTTAGGTTTTTCCTCATACTATCCAGCAGTCCTCCTCCATTCCCCTTATAAGTTCACTTTTAAGATGAATACCCCACATCTCACACCTCTCCCCTTAAACCTCCCACATACTCATCCCTCTCCTCAAATTTTCAAGTGCTGACCACATCTTACATAAAATTGAAAAAGGAGAAGCATCTATCAGACAGGACGTCCCCATCCCCATCATCACACCTACCACCTCACCTGCTCCTGCTCCCACCTCGGGCCACTCCCTCTACTCGTGCACTGGACCCCTTCTCCCACCTTCTCCAGAACTTCAATCCTGCACTTCCCCTTTCTTTCCTCTGCACCATCAGCTTTTTCCCTCCTTATTGAATCGTCTCCATCAACACATAAACATGCTCTGCATCTCCCATCTTTTAAATAGAATCTTCCTTAACTCCAGATTCTCCTCTGTGCAACCACCTCCTCACACTTCTCTCTCTTCCTCACAGCAACACTTCCCCAAAGCTGAACAGTCACTCTTCTCCACTCATTCACTACTCAACCCTGTCCAAACTGCCTTCAAACCACTACACACTGAAGCTGGACAGGAAAGGGTTAACGCGGCAGGACTGGGGTTCAAACCCTGCACATTCTAAAGACAGTACTAGCCTTGACCAGCTCCTGAGAGATAAGCTCCAAGCCCTTGGACTACCCTGCCTCATTAGAGTATCTCTGTATACCTGGGGTCTTGGGCCACACCAGATAGTTTATGTTAACAATGTGCTTTCTGGTAAATAACTGTTTTGTTCACCTGGGACCCTGGGTCACAATGAATCAGTCTGACCTCAGGCAAGAGCTGAGGTCTGAGTAGTTAAGGTCAGTCACATGGGTACTCAATGTCTATGTGACTGACCCCCAATAAAAACTCTGGACACCAAGGCTCGAGTGAGCTTCTCTGCTTGGCAATACCTCGTATGTGTGGTCACACATCGTTGCCGGGAGAATGGAGCCCCATCTGTACAATCGCACCGGAAGAAAACCAGAAGCTTGCACGTGGTCCCTCCTGGACTCTTCCCTGTGCGTCCTTTTTCTTTGCTGATTTTAATCTATATCCCTTCACTGTACTAAGCCATAATCATGAACACAAAGAATAGCTTTCCTGAGTCCTATGAGTCCTTTTTGCAAATCATCAAACTCAAGGATAGTCTTGGGGACCCTCGACACAGTCACCAATAACCTTCAGCTGCTAAATTTAATGTATCATTGTCTGTCCTCCTCCAGCACCCTTCTTCTCTTCTGAAACATCCCCACACACTCTCTAGCCCTCCTACTACTCTGGCTGTCCCTTCTCAGTCTCTTGTACTGCTTCCTCCTCTCCCACCTGATAATATTAATAAATACTGCTAGTTGCTATACTCATACTCAGATTACACCTATGAAATCCTAATTTTCCTGGGTTGACAGCCATGGAATGAAGAAATAATTCCCACCATTGCCCTAGAATTTTAGCTCCTTCTAAATCCCTATAGTTTCTTTAATTCTTATGTCACCTACTGGGTTCTATACTTTCTTATCTTCCAATTTTTATACTTACTCAGTTTTTCCACATTTTCTGTACCTTCTATGTTTAGGTATATAGATGTCTATAAAGCGTGCATTCACTCAGCATTTATTATTGCACTGCATCTATGTCCCAATTCCTGTACTAGGGATGGAGATGCATATGGCAGTCCCTGCCCTCAGGATGCTTTCAGCACATTGTAGGCGACCAACCAAGAGGGGCAACATGGTATGAAAAGTGTCCTGGCCACAACAGCAGCGATTCAGTGTTCTGCATCAACTCTAAGAATCTGACACCCTCAAACCTACAGAACAGCACCAAGAGGACTTCTCACTCACCTCCTAATTTCGTCAGTTAGGCAGACAATGTGCTCCTGCATCCTGCGCAGCCGGATCTCATAGCGCACATCTTTGGCTTGTGGGTGGTAACTTCTGGCATAAAAGCCCCGCCAACAGGCCTGAAGCTTGGTGGCTGCTTCATTCAACTTCTGAAGGGCAACTTTATCTTGGCCCAAAGCAACAGATGTCTGGGTTAAAACCTTGCAGGGAAGTTTCTCTGCAGCTGTCTGAGACACGGTTTCTTCACTGCCTGGCTGTGTATGGAAGACATTGTGCCCAACTGACTCAGGAAAAGATGTAAGACTGTGGGTGTTAACCTTCAAGACAGCACTAGTTATTGCTGGCTCAGGACAAGGTAACAGACTATCTTTCTCATTTCCCTCTGTACTAATCGCATTTTTCATCATTTGGACAGAATTCTCACTGGCAGCCCAAAAATCCTTTTCCTCTTCCTTATCAAAGTCCTGGCTTTCTAACCCTTTCACAGATTCATCTCCAGGACCATCATCTTCTAGGCCCAAGTTAATGCCCTGTAGCCTCAGCTCAACTGTAGGCGATACTGGAGAGAGTCCTGATGCAACTGGCATAAAAGTAGACTCTGAAGAGAGAAGACTACAGTTTAACTTGTCCTCATCGGTCTGGATGTCTTCCAGGTGCAGGTCATTTCGAGAATATCTTGTAGTGTGAACAGAGGCTGGAAAGTTATTCTTAACAGCATATACTTGGTCATCATTACTGCTTATCCCAACCCAAGAATTGACTTGGATGACGGGTTCTAAAAGAATCAACAGAATTCTGAGTTTAAAACATTAAATATTTAGAGAGGTATTTTTTTCAGTTGTATCTTTTTAATGAAATCTAATCCCTGAAATATAGCAAAATGTAGTAAAATGCTTTTGGTAATTACTTCTAACATTCCTAAAATACCAAACCAAATTTTTAAAAAATTAATTCTTGTAATAATCAAAAGAATAATCAGAGTATCAGGTCAATTTAAAAGGGATCAGTCTTCTGAATGTTTCCAAAAATTAGACATATAGTAATTATATGTCTACCTGTGTATATACATATGTAAAATATAGGATCCCAATGTTCACTTAAGTTGACAAATAAAAAACTGTGAAAATATATCCTTTTTTCTGTTTGAAACCAAACAGAGCAAACAACTTGGAGAAGAAAGATCAGAGATCAGTTAACTTCTTACCACTTTCCTGGACTATCTGACAATCTTGAACAGGGCTTGAACGCTCAGGTACAAGAGATGCCCTCGTTTCAACAGTGGCAAGAGGAGACAACTCTTCATTTTGGCTTTGGTTCATCAACTGCCTCTGGTGAAACCTAAAAACCAGTAAAATCTGATGTGATTTAACACAACCAAAAAAAAAAAACCTACCATGTTTCTGTTTCCTGGGTAACACTGTCAAAAAGGTAGACGTTTCCAGGGTTTCGGAGTATATATCTCTAATAACTCTCAAATTACAAAATCTCATTTAAAAGCATTGGACAGAAATGGTTAAGAAACTTATTTTTAAATCATATAGTCAGACACCCTCACATGCCACATGTACACAAACCTTCACAGGCAGGATCTCTGATAAAAGTGACTACTAAATGCTTCTAACTATACCTGTCTTAACGTTAGTATTTTAAAGTCCATGTGAAACACCCATATTAAAAGGACTAATGCATTGTTTAAAAATCCCACTCTCCCATGCTTCGTGGCTCTCTCCACTCAAGAAATGATTGACAACTTAGTTGCTGGGGAGCAAACTGGACGGCACTGCAGGGTTCAGTTCCCCTGCAGGATTGCCGCAGTGGTGAGGGGCCTGAGTGCCCAGACACGTGGGCCACACGCAGCACGTGCCTCAGCCCTACTAACCCCCCGGGAAAGGCTCAGAGGTATTTTCACTTATGAATTCAACAGCTACTACAAATAAATGGGCTGACCTCTGCTTGCTCAGAATCTTCTCGAGTTTGGCATCCTCTGCAGTTTGAAGACCCAGCGCAGAACTGAGAGGACAGACGGTAGCCAGATACTGGACAAGCTGGATGTGCTGGCCAGGCCGATACGCTCTCCCCTTGCCTTGACTATAGAGCCATTCAGCTTTTAAACTGGAATTAGAGGACATGAAGAAGGGATGGCATTGGGGCAGACAAGATACATTTTTAAGCAGTAATGTTCTTCCTTCTTAATTTATCTTTTTAGCATCATTGGATGTTTTTCATAAATAAAACTCACTCAAGTCTTCTGAAAAAAATCTATCCTTCTGATTCACTTCCCTTACTTCTACAATGTTTGAAACCTTTTTTTTTTTTTTTTTTGCCTAGGGGCATTTCCAAAGATTTGTACTAATGGTTCCAAATATTTACAAATTATTTTCGAAGAAGCAATGAGTATTCCCCTCCATTCACAGTCAAACTTTAGTACATAAATACATAAATTGTGTTTAAATCCAGGGGAGCACGTAAGTGCAGGAAGCTGGGAGCCAGCCCAGCCTGGGCCTCCCAAGTCGCCTAGCCCAGCTCTGGAGCCCAGCGTTGCGGCCCCTGGTCCTGGAGGACAGCCCTGCAGCCAAGACCAAGGACTTCTCTGGGAGAAAAGAATCTAGGATTCTGGCTCTCACTGTGGGACCCAAAGGTCGCCATGGCACATTGGCCGCACAAGATGGCATCTGGGAATCCCCAGGTGGAAAGAAGAGGTGGATTCAGGACCGGCCATTCTTGGAGCTGCAGCACAAGAGCCAACTGTGCTTCTGCTGAGACACATGCAAGTCTCACACCCACGTGTGAATCCCATTTTCTCACCCTGGGAGAACATTTCAGAACGTTCAAACCACCTACAAGAGGCTGTCTCCCAGTCCAGCTTTTAGGAAGGAAGACCCCACGCTCAGGGGGGAGGGTATAGCTCAGTGGTAGAGAGCATGCTTAGCACACATGGGGTCCTGGGTTCAATCCCCAGTACCTCCATTAAAATAAACAAACAAACAAACCTAATTACCTCCCCCAAAATCCATTAGTTCATAATGACAGTTTAAAAAAAAAGCTAGTTGGTCACAGCTGAAGGATGCTAGTGAACTACCAACGGATTATTTGGAAAAACCAGCAAATAAAGGGGAAGAAATAAATATTATTAAGTCTATCTTTCTTATATAAACTATACCAACGAGTAACCAGTTACTTCACAGAAGTATTCCAGCTAATTAAAAATGAATAACAGAATTAAAATTTCACCATTTTGCAACTCTCAATTAATTAATGAGCTTAGGCTTCGATTATTAATAGTTACTCATTACAAGAGACATCCAGACATTGTGTGCCTCTCAAAAGAACCCACAAAGCAGTCCTTGCTCCCACAAAAATCTGATCAAACCTCCACCTCCAACTACCAATTTACAGGAAACACCGAAGGAGAGGAGTACGTCAAAGAACACAGGGATACAGCATCCAGCAAAATGAGCACAGCGGGAAACTCTACAGGACAAACAACCTGATTTCTTCAACAATCAGAAACAGAGAAAAGAAAGCAAAGCAAATAAAAGAGGAACCCACAGAGGGATCTGAAAGTGTGATCTTCGACCTCGCGCCAAGTCAAGCCTTCCAAGAACTCCAGCCCTGTGTGTGATCTTGCTACAAGACCCCGAGTGAGAACTACCCAGTCAGCACAGCCAACCCATGGAGCACACGATAGTAATAAAATTTTAAGACACTGAAAAAGAAAGCAAAAAAGAAATTTAAGAAATACATCAACCAAGCACAATGTACGGCCTTACTTGGATCCTATTTCCAAAAATCCATTTAAAAACTGCATTTTTGAGTACTACTAGAGACGTAAGCACTTAATTAATATCTAGTGTTGTTAAAGAATCATTGCTAAATCTTTTGAGATGTGATAATAGGATTGTAGTTCTTTAAAAGCTCTTATCTTTCAGTGGTGAAATCATATGTGATCTGAGACTTGCTTTACAATAATAGAGAAGGGGTAGTGAGTGAAGGTACAGCAGAACAAGGTTAGCCATGAATTGAAAACTGTTGAAGCTGGATCATAGATTCATGGCAGGTCATTAAAGTACTGTTTACTTTTGCAATATGTTTGACTTTCTTTTTATTAACATGCCTTTGCGTCAATTTTACCATTCTTAAATCTGCCCCTCAACTCGAAGTTGAAGTTGGATCATTTTGGTATACTTTGTTTCTCTGGTTTTATGCCATTAACTCAGCATTGCAAATGGTTTGAAAGTCACTTCCAATACACAACCATTTTCTTGGATCTTCATATTAAGGTATCCACATCACACAAAAAATTGTACAGTCCAAAACTGTCAAGCTACCCAAGGTGTATTATATACTGCAAAGAAACTGGTCCTTTTGATAGCTGGTTAACTCAAGCAGAAAAGCCATGGTGCAATAAATGAGTTTAGAGCTCTGTGATGTGCCAGTGCCACAAGAAAGGAAAAACTGTTTTCTATCAATGAGATATGACGGGTGCCAAGCTGATTAACTGAAGTCATGTAATCCCAATCTTCGTCTAACAATAAAAAATTTTATTATGTTTAATAAAAATGTTAGAAGTATATCTTCCACAAACACATTCCTTGGATTAAATAAAGACCAGTCAGAATCTTCATGAAATCTACTCTGTTTCCTAAGTTCTCCTGCCAAGCAAATGCTGTCCCCCTAAACAGGTCCATAATAGAGGACAATCATCAACTTTAATATTAGCTAGCAAGTAACGTTTCCAGGTTATAGGTGACTTGCAGTTTGTGAGGAAAGAGAAGTGAAAGTAAGAGGACACAGAAGAAGGCTCAGGCTTAAATATCACAGTTTCAGGTGTGAGGAAAACCACAGACCATGGAGCACCCGCTACTGGGAGATCTGTTTTTCTGCCTCTGCTTCACATCCATCAATTAACACACCATTACACAAGTTTATTAACCCATAAAATACTTTCCTAGGTAAAAAAAAAATCTCCCTGCCAATTCAGAGACAAACAAGATTCAAATTCATTCAGTTCTAACATATTAATTTCAAATCATTGGAATTTGACTCTTGAAATCAAAGGAACAGTTTACATTATATAACAGAAATAACAACTATTAAGAGAGAGAACTTAAAACTGCTCTTTCACATGAGAAAGAAGGAATATTGGATTAAATGATATCTGGTACTTGCTTTTAAATATTCCAACAACAAAAAGTGGGGGATAGATGAAACAAGACTGGTAAAATGTTGATAATTGTTGAAGCTGCCTGGTGGTATTTAGATGTTCATTATGTTACTTTGCTTCTCTATATATGTTAAACATCCTTTCAAAAAAGGAACATCTCCAAAATTCTGCTCCCTCAGTTCCGATTTGTAAGCAACAGAGGTGTAGCTTGGTACTAAGTCCTATGAACAGTAAAACAGAGGGGGAAACAAATTCAGAAAGAATTCCAAATACTGAGATGTTACACAAAGGTGCCAGTCTTTCCATAGGTGTGCTTCTCTCAGAAAGCACCCAGCCACAGTACCATGGGGGTGGGTGTCTGTCACTCAAGGTATTCTTTTGGGTGACACACACACACTAGAGATCTGGCTACTTGAAGTCATCAAAGAACCTCGGATACTTTTCATAATTGAGAAAAATTTTAACTTAAATGCTTTTAGCAAAATAACAAGCTGGGTAGATCTAAAAACTAGAAATTCCTTCCTGTCCTTCAGGGCAATTCCCAAGGTCAATGAGGAAAATGTTTTGAACGCTGCTCAGGCTATCCATCAATTTTTAAGCCAACAGCTCTCCCTTAGAGTAACTCCTCCTGCCAGGACAGAATACTTCCAGAGTTATTTTAAAACATGGAAACACTGTTTAAAGACTGCAGAGGTGTCTCAGATGTCAACTGCAGAAGCATTCTTCTCAACAACCTAGGTTTTTTGGTTTGAATATAACTGTATTTACCCATTCTTCTAATAGCTTGATGCTTAGGTTGTTTCTCAAATGTCCCACATAGCTCCCAAAGGTTTGGAGCGACTATGAATAAGACTGCTATGAACATGCTTATGCATGTTTTTTGGTAGACATAAGCACTTATTTCTCTAGGGTATATACCAGAAGTCAAATTGCTGGGTCATAGGGTATTTATGTGCTTAACTTCAGTAAACACTACCAGTTTCCCAAAGTGGATGCACTATTTACATTCCTAGAATAGTGTATGAAAGTTCCAATTGCTCCGCCTACTCATCAACACTTAGTATTGTCTGTCCTTTAAATTTGAGCTTCACTGGTGGGAACTGATGGATTTGAAGACTCCATAATAATGAGGGAAAAAAATTTTTCCGAATTATCAGAAAGTCAGTATGTAGGGGAGGGTATGGCTCAGTGGTAGAGTGCGTGCTTAGCATGTACAGGGTCCTGGGTTCAATCTCCAGTATCTCCATTAAAAACTAAATATAAATAAACAACTAAACCTAACTGCCTATCCTCCTCCAAAAAAAGTCAGTATAGTGGTTATCTCTAGGGGAAGAGGAAGTTATCACAAGACTGGGGCAAAGAAGCTCTCTGGAGTGCTGGTTATGCTCTATTCTTATTTTCAGTGATGATTATATGGGCATTTTAAAAAATATTATGTTTAAACTATTTCTGAATTGTGATACTTTGCAAGTTTTTAGAATGTGGGGGGAAAAGGAATCTGTCTCAGAAAGTGTTGCCATTTTGCTATCCTCTCATCTCCCCCTTCTTCCCACACTTCTTTAGTGTAGGATATCCCCACAGACAGGCTACCCAAGGAGAAGCCCACTCTTGCCCACCTCCCCAAGCCTCTGAAATTAAACATTTGCAAAACATTATAGACAAAGTTCAAAGAAAATTCAAATTCTCCCTGAAGTCACTTGGATTAAAACTATTTCCACTGTATAGAAGCATAGCCTTTGCATTATTATTTGTCTATTCAACAAATATTTTCTGCTTTTTAACACTTGCTTTAGTGTCTACAAAACTTTTCAACCCCTAGTCCCTATCCTTAGGTAATAGTGACAGTTATTGCTTATTAGGCACCTACTGTATGACCAGTTTTATGCTATTTCCGTTATCCTTAATCCTCACAGCATCCTTGAAAGCTAGGAGGTATTATCCACATTTTACAGATGGGAAAACTAAGGCTCAGAGAGGCTAACGGACTTGCCCAGGCCACACAGCTAATAGGTGGCAGGGAAAGATGAGAAGTTTTCTCTTGTCTCTCCTGATCAGGTCTCATCTCTCTTCCCAGGTCTCTCTTCACACCAAACGCTGATCTCAGCCCATCTCACCATGCCACCTCCCACATATGAAAATGTTGCCAGTCCTACTCCCAAAGAAAAATCCGACAGCTTATTTCTTTCTCTTAAATGTAGATCCTAGAAGATAATCCAAGTAAACCTGTATTCCAGCCTTAGAATTACCCACAGTTTGAAATAAAATAAAGTTTCTGAGTATACAGCATATGTCCTGCCCCCAACCACAACCGCCAGCACCATACAGCTCACGGTTGCCATTCCTCTCTGCCCTACACCCCAGCAGCAACTAGACGAAACAGCAGAGACAAGGAAATCTACCACTCACCCTCCATCAGGAAACCCCTCAACCAACTACTATCAAACTCTAGAATAGAAGGACAAAAACAGTGAGGAAGAATGTATGCGTTGAGCCCGCGAATACATGTATGTATGCAGTGAAAGGAGAGAGTCAACTGAGGCAGAGTGAAGATAATAAAGTCACCTCAATTCTCATTATCCTAACTCCACCCCTTCTTGCCACACCTAGCTCCTTCCTTCCCCTAAAGCTCTGATTGCACTGGTCATGTGTCAAAGACCCCAAGGGGTCCCAGTTCCAAGCCACAGCACCATCAGTGATCTGGAGGTGGGGGGTTCCCACTTCTGCCGCCTCACAGGTAGAAGGGTAGGACCAATCAGCATGTCTGCTAACAGCTCCAAACTGGAACTCTGCATGCATTTTCCCAGGGTCACTGTTATAAAAAGTAGTTGGGTTCTAAGGTGTTATTAATCCTGCCTTTACAATATGATGGATACAAGCTTTTGTGGGGTTGATCTGAAACCCTATACAGTATCTATAACAAAGTTTCTAGGTAGAAGTGCTCTAAGCCCCAAACAACCAATTAACAAAAGAATTTTTAGGAATAAAATTGTTGATTGGAAGAATCAATCTTGCTAAAATGGCCAAAACAACAAAGAGGATGGAAGAAAATATTTGCAAATGATGCCATTGACAAGGGACTAATTTCCAAAATATACAAATAGCTCATACACCTTCAAATCAAAAACAGAAAACAAACAAACAAGCAACCCGATCCAAAAATGGGCAGAAGACCTAAGCCGACATCTCTCCAAAGAAGACATTAAGCCAATAAGCACATGAAAAGATGCTCAACATCACTAATTGTTAGAGGAATGCAAATCAAAACTACCATGAGGTATTACCTCACACTAGTCAGAATGGCCATCTTTAAAATGTCTACAAACGATAAATGTTAGAGAAAGTGTGGAGAAAAAGGAACCATCCTACACTGTTGCTGGGAATGTAAATTGGTGCAGCCACTATGGAGGACAGTACGGAGGTTTCTTAAAAAACTAGCAATAGACTTACCATATGATCCAACAATCCAACTCTTGGGCATACAGACAGAGAAAAATATAATTCAAAAAGACATACGCACCTCAATAATCACAGCTGTACTATTTATAATAGCCAAGACATGGAAACAACCCAAATGACCATTGACATATGACTGGATAAAGAAGATGTTGTATATATATAAATGCAATACCACTCAGCCATATAAAAAAAAAAGAAATAAAATTGTTGTATATTGGGTAGTAAGTTAAACTCACTAGCCCCAACCTCTAAGGCTGACATTTACTTCTTATCCTTTTTCAGAAAGGATAGAAAATCCTAAATGACCAGCACATAGTCTGCTATATGACTGCACTAATGATCTGGATTTCTAAATGCACAATTCAAGAAATACTCAGTTTCTTAATCTGTAGTAAGTTAGAAATGGTCTTCTCAGTAACCTCCACGATAAATGTGATGTTAAAGAAGTCATATTCACCTTTCCTTCTGAGAAATCACATATCCATCTAGGACTCTGAGGTTTAAGCACCAGTTGACGATGTAGGGCCGATAGTCGAACCCTGGGATGGACGGTGTTGCCATCACACAGGGATTGTTCATGATTGACAACTGCTCCAATTCAGTTAAGGATGCCAAATAAGAGATCTGGAACAAAGGACATCTTTGTTAAAGGAAATGGACTACTCCGTGTCAAGCACAGGGCTTCTGCTGATTACACATCTTTGGCAGTTTGAGAATGTAACAATTTCCCTCTTGTTTTGAAAATGACAAGTAACACTCTTATATTATCCACTGACTTCCAAAATTCCAACAATATGACCATCTGTCCTTGCTGCACAAAGTCCCTTAAAAAGCACTGTTTCCTAGCAAAGAGCACTCTATTTTGAAAACATAATAGCAGCCAGCAAAAGGTGCACACAGGATGCCTTATTAACCCCTTTAATGTATATGTCCTTCTACGAACAATCACTTTCCAATGAAATGATAAGTGCACCATTGCAAATTAAATTGACTTAATAATCTACCGACTTAAGGAAAAGTGGAAAGAAAAATAATGATCTTTTAGAGCCAAGTGCTTCATCTCGATAGCACTTTCTTCCAAGATGCTCAGTCTAAAGTGAGCTCACAACCTTCTCCTGCATCTCTCCTGATTTCCCAGCTTCCTGGATCCCATAAAGTAACCTCAAATTTTACCTCATTTAAGTCCCGGATTTCATTTTCTGCCAAAGAAAGTATAGCAAGACATCTGGGTAGATAAGCAGGTGCCATTCTAAGAGAGGTGATGATATTTCCATGTAAAAGCAGGGTCTTGAAAGTAAAAACAGAACGAATTACAAACGAAAAGATTACAAACAAATTGGTCTATTTTGACAAAACCCAAATGGTGTGTACGAAAATAAAGTGATATATTTTATTATACTTCTCAGTCGCACACAAATCAAAGACTGTTAATGCTAGAAGGGTTCTAGGTGGCCTTCTGGTCCAACTCTCTCTTTTCACATCCACATTCTAAGTTCAAGAAAGTTTAAAGCTTTGTCCAAGAACATACGTTTGGTGTAGCCACAGGCATGTTGTGATAAACTTGAGCAATTTGCAAGACACCTGTTCATTTCCTTTCCAAACACCAAAATAGAGGGTGATAAAAGTGAAAGAAAACATTTATTAAAACAATCAGGTATAAAGCACATTTTCCAAAAGAGAGAGAGAGGAAGAAGCCACAAACCATAATTTGCAATTGTATTCTCTTGGTAACTTAAAGCTTGAGGAAGGCAGAATGTGCTTGGAGATGAAGCTGACTCAAATTAAGTCAGCAAAGTGAGGAGGGTAGAGTGAGTGCTTGGTATTGAACTTTAGTTCATTTGAATTCTCCTAGTATCTGGCTACATCAAATTGCTTAGAATAATTGTTGCTAAAAATGATCTCTGCTAAAGATGTGGTGAAAGTTGAGCTAATAATACTGTTTCTAAGGCTTAATGAATTCATCTGATGCTAATAATATCCAATGGGGCAAAAATATGGAAAAAGCCTTCATATGCTTTTTGAAGTGATTCCAACTGTTACTTATTTGATTGCATGATATATTCCCCTCCATAAAAAGTGCTATATGCCATAGATCTTTAAAATTAAAGTGAGGTTAATTTTTATTATTTAGTAATATGCAGTACTAAAAAGACAGTAATCTTGAGTGTCAAAAAACAAACTCAAGATCAGGAATTATTACTCTCAACATCACCAACATGTTATATACTCTATAATTACAGTTGCTAACACTCGCTGACTGGGCATGAAGGGAATTTCATAATGTTCACTGACTGGTAAATAAGAATTAACTACAATGACCGGTTTTAGTTAAAATAAATCAGTTACAGATATTAACAACAAAAAGTTCCATACTTAATTGCTGCCACTCTAATAGAATTTTTATCATAATGAACACAATCTGTGCTTCATATACAGCAGACCAATAAGATCATTTTCTCTTGGTATTTTAGTATAATATTTCACAAATGACATAGTCAGAAAACACATTTACCTTTAGTGATACCAATTTAGATAGATCACCTATCTGGGGTATGTTATTGTCTGATAAATCCAGGTGCTGTAGAGCCGTGCAGCTATTGATTTGTTCCATGGCCTATCACAAGAAAAGGACCACATTATTTCATGCACACAAAATCAAAAAGTGAAATTCTTCCCCAGTTCCTTGTAGCTGAGCCTCCTGTCTCCTCTGCTTAGTATCAGAAGCAGAGCAGCAAGAAAGAAGCAGTGCCAAGAGAATTTGGTATATTGTTATATAGCATGTTTCCACCTTCGTTATCCCTCTAAGAGCAGATGATTATATCATCTAGATATTTACAGCTTGAGAAAACTTTGGTGATGACACATAACAGGTGGTATAGCATAGAGCTTACAA